AGAAGTGTGTTTCACCCTTATTTGGTGCGAGAAAAGATTCCACTTCCGGTGATCTATTTCATTGACGGGCATAAGAGCCATACCGCGTATGCAACTGCTGAAGAGTGTATTCAACTTGGGATCTTCCTTGTATGTCTCTACGCAAACAGTACACATATTATTCAACCAGCTGACGTAGCAATTTTTCGTTCGCTGAAGGCTGGGTGGACCAAGCAGGTACGGATTTGGCAGGCTGCACATCCAGGTAGTAGATTTCATGAAGTTATGTTGTGGTTTTACTTATTTTGTTTCATCGTTTCCAAATTTAGGTAAGGTAATTCGAACGGACGAGTTCGGTGGAGTTTTACAACAGGCCATCGGGGGTGACCCCGGCGTAGTGGTTAGCATCCATACCTCTAACGCCAAAGTCACGAGTTCAAATCTCACCCCCGGACAAGTCACGAATGACCCAAGAGCGTTAAAGTGACCATAATAAAAAAAAAAAAAAAAAAACAACAACAACAGGCCATCGACGTTTCTTTTAAAGCAGAAACTGTCAGAAATGGATTCAGAGTATGTGGCCTATTTCCGTTTGATGCAAACGCTGTCGATTACTCGAAATGTATAGCAGGCAAGACAAATCCGGAACCGAGTGTTCCTTCCACAAAGGAATCCACTATTGCTGTTTCGCGTGAATTGCTCGAGGGAATAATTCAGCAGATTAGTCCAGCGCAAGCCAATTGTATAAAGCAGTTCTTCAGCCCCTCGATCAACGTGTGATTAATGAAAAATCTGGCGAACTTGGTCAGAATAATGATGAAGCCGAACTCAGCTGTGAACAGATGTGCACTGATTCCGTTTCAGATGAGTACGTTTTACCTATTTCTTTGTCTCTTTGAATAACATTGTGATTTCTTTCATTACAGCGAGATTAAAGCTTTCTCTGAAGAAGATGAGGCCCACCCTAAGGTGCTTAATAATGAAACCGGCGAACTCGGTCAAGTTAATGACAAAACTGATCTCCATCATTTCTCTGACGATATCGACACCCGTTCATCGCAAGATAAAATCAACACGAGCGATCCGATCCCTTCGTTTCATGACCTGATGGAAGATGCTTCTTTTGATGATCCGGACATCTTATGTATGGAAAATGCAAATTCTGAGAAAGATCCATTGTCCTTGTCAAACTGTACTGACCAAGACAAGACCATTCAGAGCTATTTAAGTGAACCCAGTACGCCTAAGAAGAAGAACAGGAAGTTCAACAAACCGAAGAGCCCACCAGTTTTGACTTCTCGAAAACGTATAGAGCTTCATCAGAAGAGAGAACAAGACAAAGAAAACTCAAAACAAGAGAAATTTCGGAAGGCTGAAGAAAAGCGCAAACAACGAGCAAAGCGAGCAGAAGACAAACAAATTGAAATGATCAAAAAAGCGGCGGAGCGACTGGAACGTTTGAAGTATGGATTGCAAGAAATTAACAACAATAAAGATTAACCTACACTTATTTCAAATATTGTTTGAATATTCAACGATATTCAATGTTTATTGTTAGCTCCCTTTCTTAAGCTCAACAAAGATAATTAAATAAAATCAAAATTAAAATAAGTTATTGTTAATTTCTGGGTTCAAGATTTAAGATGGCACAAAATTATTAACCGTAACTAAACTATTTTAACAATAATATCGTTCTTGGAGATAGGAGGGAACAAATTGAATATGTAACAAGGGGCTATACCGAGGGGGACGACTCTATCTACGATGCAGAAAAGATTGTGTTTTGCTGTGGCTAGCTGCGCGCACGCTGAGTAGATAGAAAGAAGATTGATGATGATTCTGAAGATTTCCTGCAAAAAGATGATGCGCGATGCAAGTAGATGCGATAAATGAAAGAAGATTTTTCGAAGATTTATTAGCTAGTGTGAGATTTGTTGAGCATCTAAACTTGAGATTTAGATGTGTCGCCCCCCTCGAAGACCACTGGGTCCCGAAGAAAATCATTATTATTTTTGGCTCACTCAGTACCAGAACAACGGTCCCAAGCAGTCCCAAGCTATTTCACTCACCCCTGCATGTTCTGCATGAATCCACACACCCCTGATGTTATTTGTCAAACTTTCATAGCGAATCAAAACAAACATAGTGTAGTAATAGAATTTCAACTAGAATAGGGTACGTTAATCGTTTCCTCGGGACCAATAGGCTACTAAAGTGGTGAGCCAATTTAAAATCGTTAGTTTCGTATTGATTGTTGGTATCATTGTGCTTGCCACACAATATACAAATTTATGCATTGGTATTGGCATCGAAAGCTCTCAGTTAACTGTGGAAGTGCATTTAGAACACTAAGTTGAGAGCACGCAATAAGCTAATATGCGCTAAGCAATAAGCTTGAAATGCGAATAAGAAGAAGAAGAAGACTAAGTGCTGGTAGCGCCTGGCAATTTTCAACAGAAAATTTATCGATACTACCGCCAAATTGGGTTCTTTAAGGGTATTTAGGTAAATGCATATTCGTAATCTGCACTAAAAATGGAACCCAAACCCAAAATTTCATCAATTTTGGTAAACTAGAACTATTTTAAATAGGTACGATTACATTTGCAAAAATCACCTTATTAGCGCCCCTCGGTGTCACTTTGTATGGGAGCGAGCTGTCAGTTTGTCAGTTTAGTATCAAACAGTGAAGTTATTATTTTGCTTTAAATATTGATTTAAAAATCGAGATGAAAGTGTGTGGTTTCGAAAAAAATATCGCTGTGCTCAGAAAACGAAGCTCTTTCAGATGATGTATAAAAAAAACGATACATTTTTCAAAATTAAAGAACCCAATTGGTCGAAAGTGGAAAATTTATAGAGGAAATCAGGAGATGCTAGCGCCACGTAATGGTGACGTTCCCACTTATCTTTACACAAGCTTCTGACCGAAGTTGGACGTCTGTCCTCTGTGCTCCAGCTCAAATAGCATCCAATCAACTCTCTATTGGCGAATCAAAGCAAAATCAAAACTGGTCATGCGACACCTAGTTTGAAGACCGCATGTACAAAAATGATGATGTACTAAAATGTCATGTCATGCATTTTGACAGATACCAAAACGTCATTACCATTTTCACCCACTCGCCATCTATGAGTCAATCATCACTTTGATTCTTCAATTAGAACGGTTGTCCGCTTTGAGCCGAATGTCCCAATCCACGATGAGGAATGACACATTTGATTTGACAATCTTCAAACTTCAACGAATCTGAGCTGGATGAAGCCATCCTATTGGTAAATTACTTTGAAACTCAGCAAGATATGCACGCTATTTCAAAACTAACCAAATTTGGGTAGAATCCACCCAGATCGTTTAAAACTGAATCTACCCAAAAATGGGTAAACTATGTTGGGAGTGACAAGTTGACAAATGGACAACATCGACATTAATCTGATCGACATTGTGTTCATTTGTCAACTTGACACTCCCAACATAGTTTACCCATTTTTGGGTAGGTTCAGTTTTAACCGATCTGGGTGGATTCTACCCAAATTTGGGTGGTTTTGAAATAGCGTGTGTGACTCTGGTAGGATCAGTTTGGAACAAACTGTCGGTATCGCCTTCGCTCGCTCGCAGATAACACTTGCAGCGATGATGATGTTCTGGTATTCGGTGAACCGGAAATTTTAGTATTTTCGATAAAACAAAATTAATTGATTTTAAAGCGCGTTAGAAGCAGTACCGGGGGACGGAACGATGAATAAATTATATTGGATGATTGAAAATTTTATTAGGGGATTAAGTCATTTGCATCCAATTTGCTGCAACGGCGGTAGCAGCGTGATCATTAGAGTTAATATTTGTTCAGTAGAAAAGCTGCTAATTGTGCCAGGCTGATGGTAGACCGTGGATCAGAATGGAAAAGATGGATTGTCTGATGCTGTGCGATACTGCATTATGTAAGCGATTAGATTTTATTATCGCGACAGTGTTTTAAACGCTGGCCAGACTGGAGAGTTATAACATGTTATAACGGTTGTCAAATAATTGCAACACAGAAAGCACCATCAAGATAGCACTATAACATGTTATAACTCTGTAGTCTGAACTATAGATACTATAGATTCCATAGATAAGCGGAGGCACAGAAAGTTGTTTTGGCCACCATGAAAAATAAATAATCTTACTGGCATCCGTTAAAAAAGTTCATACCATCATAGAGCTCTTCGTTGTGCAGTTTTGATTTGTTTCGTCCGTAAAAGTTCAAAATGAAGTGCAAAGCAAATCTTTGCAACAATGAGTCGAGGAATGGTTTGCTTTATCTTTCCTTCTTACGTTGTCCGGGAAATAAATCGGAATGTGGAGTGTGGAAAGCGTTTTGTGCTCATAATATTACAATACTTCTCCCTCAAACAACACCATGATGACGTCATGCTCGTTTGGCTACACTAACTGACAGTTCGTTTGGCTACATTATACTTTTCCTCCGATTATCTATGGAATCTATAGTATCTATTCCGAACGTACTATTAAGTTGATGTATTTTGGCGTTCGACTGCAATCGGCAGTGAATAGTTTTTCCTTTCTGAGTGTCCTAATAAAAATAACCATAAAACGCTGTCCAGACTGAGCAGTTATACCATGTTATAACGGTTGTCAAATAATTGCAACACAGAAACCACCATCAAGATAGCGCTATAACATGTTATAACTCTGTAGTCTGAACGTACTATAAAAGAGAGCTTAACGACGTGTTCGGGGTACCATTGGAACCATTTGTGGGATAGTTTACCCATCCGAGATACAGTTCGTTTATGGTATGTATTTACTCGAGTACATACTTTTACTGAAGGGCTTCAGAATGTAACCCCCGATGTAACCCACCCTGAATCGGCTCTCCCCTCGGTATATCAACAAACCCCGACTGTCATTTTACTCAGTTCGCTGTCATCATCATCATCCCGCAATCGCAATGTCAATCATCAAACGTCATCATCAGCATCACCATTTTCAAAAGATACCATCGTGTGTGGCGAAGAGACTGTCGCAGTTGTTATAATTTAGAACCAGCGATTTTTAGCTGTTTAAAATTAAAAAATCCATACATTTCTACAATTAAGTCAAAGATAATCACTAGAAGCAGCGTGAAATAGTGAAGCGATCAATCAAACCGCATTTCCAAGCATAATAAAGTGAAAAAACTAGTTCGCCCAGCGAGAGGCTGAAAATCGTCGGAAAAGGAAGATGGCCGACCAGGATGCAAACGGGTACAATGACGAGGCGAGCGATTTCAAGCGAAAACACAATAAATCCCAACAGGAGCAGGATGTGGAGCTGGAAGATGACAACGAGAACCAGCAGCAGTCCCAGAAGGCACAGGAATACATCAAGGGAATGATGACTGAACGACAGACGCTCGAACGAAAATATCCGATTGCCGATCGACTGCTGGAAATAGGTGAGTTGTTTGTCTGGGTGGGAACAAATCGATGATGGTGATGATGGTTTTTGTTTTCAGAGATTGAAAGTGTTCAAAAGACGGGAAAGCCACCGGCGCGGCGCTACATCGACATCTACCGGGAGAAGCACATCAAGGTGGCGGTGAAAATCTTGGTCCCGGTGAAGGAACATCCGCGGTTCAACTTCGTGGGAAAGCTATTGGGTCCGAAGGGGAACACACTGAAGCGGCTGCAGGAGGACACGATGTGTAAGATGGCCATCCTGGGGCGGGGATCGATGAAGGATCGCAAGAAAGAGGAAGAGTTGAGGACCGGAATGGACCCAAAGTATGCTCACTTGATGGATGATTTGCATGTGGAAGTGAACGCCAATGGACCGCCGGCGGAAGTGTACGCTCGAATTGCCTACGCTATGGCCGAACTGCGGAAGTACCTGATTCCGGACAGTAACGATTTCATCCGGCAGGAGCAGATGCGGGAATTGATGGAGGATGCGGAGAGTGAGGTTCCACCGAAGAAGCCCTACAAGAAATCGATGACGGTGGAGGCGCCACCACCGCCGACGATTTCCGTCGCCAGACCGATGCCAGCGCAGAAGAAGGTGCTGTCGATTTTGGACAAGGCGCGAGCTGCGATGGAAGACATCCATGGACCGAGGTAAGATTAGAGAATATCAGAAGGAATTTTCGAGGTGAGTTCGTAGAAAGTTCTAGTCGAAATTCCAAGGACGTTTTGAAATCTTGAATGTGATTCAGAGGAATATTTTGTGGGAATTTGGAGATGGGAATCAGGGCAGTTCCAAGAAAATTCTGAGGAGCGCTCCAAAGGAATACAGGGAATAGTTCCAACTGAATGCTGAAGAGAACTTTAAGAAATTTCTGGACGTATTCAAAAGAAGTTGGCAAAGAAGGCAATTAGGGTTCATAAACACGGACCCGGACGACCATGGGAGCGTGCTCAGGAAGATCCGAAACATCTGCAAAAGTGGTCAATCCATGAAACTGAACCTAGAGCTTCGCAGTTTATTTCAAAAAATATTAGGAACTGTGATATAAGAATGAATTTGGGGTCGTGAAACATGAACCTGGATGGCCATTGGACCGTCATTCGGAAGATCCGGAACATCCATAAAAGTGTTTCATACATGAAACTGTGAAAAAACGTGATTTTTTTCGAAAACTTCACAGTTCGAAGTGTTTTCGAGAAAACCGCCAAGTTCTAGAATCAGTATCATCGATGTACCACTTTTACGGACCTTCCGGAAGACGGTTTCATGGTCATTCGGGTTCATGTTTATGTTATGACCCCAAATTATTTTTTATATCACAGTTCCACGTGTTTTCAAAAAAAAAACCCCGTGGGACTCATGGATCAGTTTTATGGATTGACCATTTTACGGATGTTCCAGATCTTCCAGACGACGATCCCATGGCCATGCAGGTACATGTTTATGCCATGACCCCAAATTCTTTCTTATATCACAGTTCCTAATGTTTATGAAAAAAAAAAACTGCGGAGCTCTAGAATCAGTTTCATTGGTTGACCTCTTTTACGGATGTTCCGGACCTACCAGAGGACGGCCTCATGGTCATCCGGGTCCATGTTTATTTCATGATCCCAAATTCTTTCTCATATCACAGTTCCTAATGCTTTCGAGTTCTAGGATCAGTTTCATGGATTGACCATTTTTAAGGATGTTTCAGATCTTCTGGAGGACAGTCCCATGGCCTTTAAGGTACATGTTCGTGTAATGACCCCTAATTAATTTATATATGACAGTTCCAAGTGAAACAAAAAACACTTTTACGGATGTTCGACATTTAGCGGATGGAATGGAGAAAAACGAAATAGAACACAAAATCAACGCAAAGCAGCAAATAAGGCTACCAGAAATTCCCGTTTCTCATGGTCATAGGGTTACTAGCACTTTAAATTAAAAATTAAACCACCGCCATCGGTTTGGTGAAACCGCCATAACTGAATAATTGGGGTGATCGGGTGTGTGACCGACCCATACCCAAAATGTGTTTTTTTTTAAATACCCGTACCCGACCCGAACTCGTCAGGTATGGGTATAGGCCCAAGCGCAATGGCAGCGGAAAAACCCCTTCTTAGTAATCCTACTTTTCGGATTAAAAACTAGCTACAACCAAATCGACACGGTTAGGCATATTGATGTCATTTTTGACAACTGTCAAACTTTCCGTTTCCGTTTCCGCTTCCCCCTTATGGGTTGAGTTTTGGGTAAACAAACCCGTTCCTGATAATGTACAGTTCATCAATGGACCCATATACTTATTTTTAAGGTTTCTGCAAGGGGTGAGACAACTTTACTCTGAGTTCCGTTTTTGCTGCGAGTAACTCAATGTACCTCAAAATTAAATCGACGTTCATCGATTCACTGTCTGTTTACTCCTCGGCTTACTCCGTTTACGATTTTCTCTTTGCATTGCTACAGCTGAGCTAAACAATTTTCTAGAATTTGTTCAATGCAGAGTTGTAACAGGTTGTATTGGCTATCAAAAGCAACAGCAAACGCACCGAGAAACGTTAATTCTAGCGAGTTTTTAACAAAAGAGAAAATCGACGAAGAGAATCGATCATCTCGTGTACGCCCTTATGCATGCTCACTGTTGATATATTAGGCGTCAGTCTTGTTTGTAAACAAAATAAAATCCTCGCGTCACTTTTCAATAGGCCCTTTCTGCATTGATCGATTCGCTTCATCGAATTTCTCTTTGGATCGTCACGGCCGAATATTTTGGACACCCAGATCGATGGAAGACGCAACCATCTAGCATCTAATGCGACAAAGACGGCAGGAAATGTTTTTGTAGCCGAGTTATTTACGAAAGAGAGAGTCGATGCAGAGAATTTAGAGAATGTAGATTTTTCTATTTGAAATCGGAGTTGGTAACCTGAATGACAAGACGAGAGCGGCATGGTCAGCATCCAGACTGATCAGTGGCCGGTAATGCGAAATCATTTGCCGGGACAAGATCTAGCAAACGTCCGTTTCGGTTGGGAAAAGTGTTTACTTGACTAAACCCGTGTAAGTTAAATCCGTCCAAAATAGTACAGCAAACCACCAGCATATGCAATAGTAGTGGGTCAATGAATGGTGTGCCGCTGTCGGTGCCAGCTTGGTTGTAGTCGCCAAATAGTAGTGCGGGAGAGCAGGGACCTAACGATGATTGCAGTCAGCAGGTAGACAGCGGCAATACTGAAAATGTTTTGTAGAAATTCCACGACTATCCAGAGCTGTCCAAACAGACTGGAAATGGGCGAGATACTTAGGTAGCTGGTTAGTCTAGTTGAGACAGCAGCCTTTTGACTGTGCAGGGGAGATCGGTCACTTGAAGACGGAATAAAGTGATCCGAGGTGGCGATGCATAGATCCGGTCATCCAGTCCCGAGTCGATTTTAGTCCTCAGCAAATGCACGATCCCGGGAGCTGGAAACCGAAGGAAATTTAGGACCGAAAGTTCAGAATCCCAACCATACTCGCCTGGAGTTGTAGGCCGGAGGTCCCCGATTTTTGTTGTTGTTTTGCTTGACCGCAGCTTCTTGACTTCGCACCTCCATATGTTGCTGTGATGCGAAAAGTGAGAAAGCCAATGACAGTGATCTTGCTCGCTGAGCAATGTGAGTTACTCGAGGTGCCTCAAAAGCATCCCTGAAATTGCTCATGATTAGGAGCTGTCTTGCCCTTTGGGTTTCTGTTTTTTTCAAGGCACATAATATGTGTTATTTGTTGAAGAAATTTGCCAAATTTAATTTTTTATCGAGATTTTTAGCTTATTGGCTAGTTTATCTCGTACATTCTTGATTGGATAAGCTGCAAAAATATCCGCACCCGACTGTTCCACGTTTGTTGTTAAACTGTTTCCGAGCCGAATCCGAAAATATATTTATTTGCATACTCGTACCCTACCCGTAACGGGGTCGGGTTTCGAGTAAAAATGCCTGTACCTGACCATCTCTTCCAGGATGATTTTAATTACTGAAAACCCCACCTTAGAAAAAATAGTTCCGATACTATTCCGAAATGTTTTGATGGTGTTTTTGGTAACAAATTCAAAATGGAGTTATCTTGTTGCACATACAGTAATATAATATTTTGGTTTAACTTCAACTTTGAAATGTGACCGGCGCACAGGTCTACTGCCACTGGTTCCAGTCCGGGTGGCCAGATTATTATTTTTTTCATTATCGGTAGCTTCTCAAAACTTTTATCGGTAGTTTTCGGTTGGCTATCTTAAGAAGGCTTCCCGAAATTTAAAACCTTTGCCTAATCTAGAGTTGGTGCATAATGAGTCATGCCAAAAGTGAAGTCAAGTCTACCGACTGTCAAACCGGCAACCTATTGTGCAAAGTAAACAAACATTACGATGCTATGAGAGGTCCACGAAATACAGCAACAAAATAATTTTGATATCACATCAAAGTGGATGCACTTCCATCGTGTCAAAAATATGGTGTAATGTTACTTACCAAAAAGGACAAAATTATCATTAATACAGTGCATGAACTGACATTACGCTGCTTTTACTGCACTACATTTGTTTATTTTTGTGGCGATAGAAATTACATGAGATTTTCGACATGATTGAAGTACCTCCCTTAGCTCAGTCGGTAAAGACGCAGCTACAAAGCAAGACCATGCTGGAGGTGGCTGGGTTCGATTCCCGGTCCAGTCTAGGAGTTTTTCGGGTTGGAAAATTTCTCGACTTCCCTGGGCATAGAAGTATGATTGGACTTGCCACACAATTATACCAATGCAAAAATGGTACAGGCATCGAAAGCTCTCAATTAATAACTGTGGAAGTGCATCTAGAACACTAAGTTGAGAACACGCAATAAGCAAATATGCGATATGCAATTAGCTTGAAATGCGAAGAAGAAGAAGAAGAAGAAGAAGATGAAGTGCATCCTCTTGGATATAATATGAAAATTTATTTTTTGCTGTGAATGTATTACAATAAAATATAATCGAAGAAATGATCATAAACACGTAGTGAGCATTAAATTGTCATGGGATACGTTTGGTAATGATCGGTAATGAGAATTTCTACTATTTTTTGTTAGGATAATTTGATAAAATCCAAGGGGCAAGTCACTCAGCACATTGTGCCGAAATTAGATTCGGCACAGCTTGGGCACAATCTCGTAGGCATTGGATTGCATATTCAGGAACATCCTCTAATTGAATATACCAGAGGAACTCAGACCAGCAGTTCACTAAGATCTAAAGATCTTATACGAAATGTAGGTTCTAGAGGAAGAGGCAGTTAATCAGACCCAAGTAGTAATCTTAATTCAAATAATGCTGCAACTCACACAAAACAAACTACAGAAGTCTATTCATCATCCTCTATAGACGGTCTCCAACAATGTTCCCACTTGTTCCGGCCGCTGATAGACCGCTGGCCGGCGCCGGTGGTGTAGTGGTAAGCGTGACGGCTTTCTCACATCCCAATGGGTCTGGGTTTAATCCCAGCCGAGGCCGGTGGGATTTTTCGGAGGAATAAAAATCTCTGGTCACGTCTTCCTTCGAAAGGGAAGTAAAGCCGTTGGTCCCGGCCCATGTGTGTTTGTATGGGTGCGATATCCTACGCAGGTGTGGAAGCTGCCTTCCTGCACATTCAATTGTCGTCAATGGATGGCGATCGATGTCCGTCGGTGATTTAGGCTTTATCAAGCGCTTTTCCTATAACTTTCAGGACCCTTACACAATTAAAACACTATATATTGCCTATGTGAGGTCAATACTGGAATATTGCAGCATTGTATGGTGTCCATTTTCAATCACGCACGAAGAAAGATTAGAATCAGTACAAAAACAATTTCTATTATACGCTCTTCGTAAATTAGGTTGGACTTCATTTCCTCTTCCATCATATGAAGCACGCTGCATGCTTATAAACATACAAACATTAAAAGGGCGTCGTGAATATGCAATAGTTTCATTTGTAAATGATATCGTTTCGCAGCGAATTGACTCAACAGAACTTTTATCAAAATTAAATTTCCATGCACCCACTCGGCAACTCCGAAATCGAAATTTATTTGCCATAAAACATCATCGCACAAATTATGCAAAATATGGGCCATTAAACCGCATGATGGCCTCTTACAATAAACATTGCAAAACCATTGACTTTACAATGTCTCGGCATAAACTAAAGCAATATTTTTATTCCATAAGAAATAACAACTCATAAAAGAAAAGACAAGAAAGCTGACACTACTTTTTTTTATATAAATATATATTTAAGAAAACAAACTGTATTAGATTGGCACTAGATTGCGGAACAAAGACCGACGTTAAAATAAGGGAAAGAAGAAGAAGAAGATAGACCGCTGCTTTTCACATCACGAAAGGCTAGGTTTCTGAGGACATTATAGTACCCTAAAACACAGGACTTTTAGTATCCTATGAACACAACACACAAAAAAATCGCTCACCCGCAACTTCCCGCGTCTTCCTCAATCTGATTTATCCTTGCGATTTCAAACCAAAACATTCCAGGTGGCATGACCGGTACAATTGGCACACCTGCGGCACACTGTCAAAAAAGATGACCCAAGATTGGTGTGCGGAGTGATCTACCTCTTGACAAAATCACTGATATAACAATTTTTTTTTTCTCGCTAGAAGTCATTTGAAGTTGATGTAGAAGTCCTCTGTGGCCAAGTGAAAAGAAAGGGAATCTTTGGAAAACCGTGATGCGAGTTCATCTTTTTTTTTCTCCTGGCGTGACTCATTATACACCGACTCTAGTCTAATCATAACAAGTAAGTGTGAGTATAGGATGAACGGAATGCGGAACTAAAAAAGGGAGAAACAGAAAATAGCATCTCCGCTAGGAGACAGACAGAGAAAGTTGATTAAACGTTAAAAAAAAACTCATCCGTTTGGATTGAAGTTGTAAAACGCATCGCGTTCGATCAAATTGACTGACTACACGGAAAATAAAACATAGGTATTGAAAATTTTTCAAGATAACTTAAAATATGTGATTCTCGGTAGGAAAAGTGAAAAATCGGTAGTTTTGAACCTTTCGCCTGTGAACCGGTAGGCATCCAGAAAATAGGTAGGACTACCGATAAACCGGTAGGTATGGTCACCCTGGTTCTAGTGTGGTTAGTACTTTTAAAAAGAGTGCATTATAGGAAGGGTAGTGGACTTGTGGTGGAGCCAACAAGTAAAATATTTGGAACCAACGGTTACACGTCGGATATCGATTTTTGAGATCTCTTAGGATATTTGACACTTCATAAAACCAATGGCCACTATCTTGAATTCCAACATGGTGTCGAATATCGATTTTCTTCAGCACCTTCGCGTCGTCCCCGTTCCGAAAATACCCATATTGTGGGTATTTGAGACTTTTCCTGACCCCGATGGCCGCCATCTTGGCCTCCAGATGGACCTCGTCTATTTAATTTTCGTTTAATATTAAATAATATATTATTGCTACATATAATCCGGATGCCATCCCTATCGGCAACCGATATTGTGCGGATACTATGTTTTGATGCTTGACGACACGATGCCCGAATGAGCCCGAACTGAAGTGAAAGTGGAAAAAACGAAGGAAGCAGTTTTCGAGTCATTCATTGCGTCAATTGAAACCAGTCTTTGCCTTAAATGAAATGAACTGCAGCACTTGACGAACGAAACAAGGGATAGTCAAGTCATGTTTGAAAAGAGTCATGTTCATCGTGACTCGATAACAAGAAACACAATGACTTACACGAAAATGATATTGCTCGAAATGAAGCGATTCTGCGGAAAGTTCATTTTCTTCTCTTTGTTTCAAAAATGCAGAGCCCTGCTACTAGAGGGTTAACTGTATTATGAATTTTCAAATAATCGTTTGATTTCATTCAGAAAATCATTTCCCCTTTATTGCAGATCAATGCCCCCACAACGCTACGAGGAACCGGCCTACGAGCACGGTTACGAAACGGGATACGCTTACCACCCGCCCGGTCCACCGCCGCCACGTGCCAAATATGCCCCGGAAGCACCCGAATACGAACAGGAATACCGTCGTGAGTACTACCGCGAGCCGGCCCCGTACGCAGGTAATTTGTATGCTCCTTCCTCCTACTATCGTCCTCCCTATTGATGACGCTGATGGTTTTCTTTGATGTTGGAGCAGCGTGGCCAGCGTGGTAACGAAACCCTCGTTGGCAATAGTAATAACAACAGTGGAGAGACGGAACTTCCGGTTTCCGGTGTGGGCCCCTCCCCCATTCTCTGGGGAGTCCCGTTAGAACCGGATGCCGCTCTTCTGTTCGCGTAACTGTAAAATGTAATTTGACTGAGACCCTCTTTTATAATGTGATAAATCGTGATGTAAAGGAAAATTGAGGGCTAACAATACGTGACGTAAACGGAGATTTAAAATTTTAAACGTTGGAACAAATGGTAAAACGTTAAAAATTTTAAACCGATAAATTTGTTCAAAAATTGTCCGTTCCGCAAATGGAATATTTGCCTCCCCTTTAAACCAGTCAAATTTTGCCACCCCATCTGCTAATCAGTTGATATTAAAATCTTGACGATCTGTTATTAATTTAATCCAAAAAAAAAAATCAAAAACGAAAAACACGCAAACGCTTTAAAACCGAAACATCAAACTTTCTAAAAACTAACAAACCCGACAGTTTCCAAACCAAGACAGTAGGTAACCCAACAAATATCCAAACCAATGCTTGTTGTTGTTGTTGTTGTTCGAAACAGCCGCTCCGAAGCCGATGGGTGCCAGTCCAAGTGGTCGCCCCTGGAAGCCGTCGTATGCAGCGCCCCCGCGTGGCCACCCCGGCGAGGAGATCCCGATCAAGCACGGTGTCCGCGAAGTTTTGCCCCGCTATCGGCATGCACCGTACAGTCGTCCGGCGAAGTAAACAGAACAACATAACTAATATTCCACCAACAACAAAACGTTTAATTTGTACCAACTTCTAATACGACGACAGACTCAACGTTGTGGGAAATTCCGGAGACCGTCACGAGGAGGGATGGCAAGCAGTTATTTAAGCTTGATAAAACATTTGAAGTAAAATGAAATTGACGATAACAAACATATATAAACACTGTGTGGAAGTTTGAATATTTAAACTATTACATAAACAATGCATAATTAATGGAGCAAACATAATTGTACTAAGCAAAAAAAAAAACGATGCAAAAAATCTCTATAATTATCATAAATCAAAGTTGAAAATTTTCACTTAAATGAAATAAAGTTAATCATAACATAAAATACAACAATTAACTCAAACAAGAAACATGAAATAGCTTATGCAAAAATATAAACAATGAAAAAAACCATTCACTATCGAGTGAAATATGTTCAATTATTAAAAAAGGAAGCACATTTCACAAAACAATTCAATTTAGTTAGGTTTAGCCTAGTTTCAGTCTTTGGCAAGGTAATTATTCAGAAAAAAATATCTTCAGATCTTTATAAAACGAAGTTACTGATCACTTCAACCGTATTAGTTTCCGTGGTTTGAGAGAAAACGATTCTAATTAAAGTATGATTGCACTCAAATAAGTAGATACGATAAGAAGTCAGCAAATGTTAAAATTTAATAAGTGGGAAAAAAACTACGTTAATAAATAAAATACAAACAACGCAAAATCGATTATAGATTCATCAATCAACAACAGGAAGAATAATAAGATCAACATAAAATTTTGCATGAAAATGCAACGTCACCGATTTTTCAGCTACGCTAAATAATAAATATTGATAATTCAAATAAAAACAAATAATCACTAAATATGTAAACGCAAAATTCTATCCAAACAAAACAAGCGGTAAAAGCAACAACAAACACCTATTCAACTAAAACATAAAATAAAGGTACGCAAATAAAGTCTCCCGTTTCGGAAGAACGACAACCCAGCTGGAGGGCGTTTCATTTCATACTGTAGTTGTGAAACTAACCCCATTCGCATCTAACCACTCACCCTCGAAATCATCTTTCACCACTCAGGCAGGAGCACAAATTTCTACCAGCAGGTTTGTTTGTTTCTTTATTTTCAGTGCGTGGAACTCGAAGCCCGAGCACGAACGTCCGGAGAGGTACCTGGCGATATCCAATGGTCACGACACCCAGGAGAGATTACAACAAGTAAGATACATGGCGACCCTGCGTTTGCCTTAAGGAAACTCGATTGATCGGTGAGGCCGGATATACACTGAATGACATTTTGCGGGATAGATGCTGCAGATTCGAATTATACTTGGAGCTCTGAATATTGATGGGAGCATTTAATGCATGTATGAAAGCCGTCGGCCGAATGAGAGATTTAAAATCGCCAGAATAAAGTCACTGCTAAACAGTATTGAACGTCATTGAGAGTGTATCATTCGTCAAACGATCCGTACGTCCCATTGTTGACTTTTTGGGGAGCTCCGGTTTCCATCGTTTGGTTTCTGACTCCAGTTCTGAAGTGTTTTAAACCATGGCCCACTTAGTTATGGAACAAACTCTTTTGCTTGTTACAGCGCTCCTAGTGGACGTTTTCGGAAGCTTTTGGCGTCTATTAACTACAATAGCAATAACAGTGTATTTTTTCAGTTCATAGAACGGTCTTTTTTTAGAGACAGTCATCATGCAAGAGGAGCGTAGGAAAATATCGTGTAGAGTCAGCTGGAAAATCCATCGCAGTCCGCGTCCATGCTGGCAAGTGTTGAATTTTCCTAGAAACACCGTCTGGTGCGTGCTCAAAACGTACAGGGAAACCTTGACGACGAATCGGAAGCCTCAATGGAAACGCCGGAGTGGAACTGCCAACCGTCAGCGCAATGGAAAGGTCGTGAGGTCCACCAGAAGCAACCCAGGTATGTTCGATCGCGATTTGAGTAAAAAGAATGATGCCGCCCGTAGTACAGTGCAGCGATTCGCTACCGCGCCAGTAGGCAACCAAATCGATCACTCAAGCAGAATACCGTAGCTAGAACCCGTGCTCGAAAGCTGTATGACAACCTGCTGACCAAGTCCGGTGGGTGCATACTTATGGAAGATGAAACCAATGTAAAGGCCGGTATAGGGTAGACAGCTGCCAGGACCGAACACAAGGCGAAGGCTCGAGGAGGTGTCCCTGTTTTTGGGGATAAATTCGCACGCAAATTTGCAGCTGCGGCTAGAAGACAAAGGTTTTCGTTACTGAGGAAATGATGAACTTGGAGGTTTACAAAACCGACTGTCTCCAGAAGCGAATTCTGCCCTTCATCAGGGGGAACGACACTTCAGGATTATCCCATTTTTACCAAAACCTCTCATTAAATTTTCAACGTGCACAAAATTTCAATCCTATCTATTCTTTCAATTCCCAACCTATCCCTTCTGCATGCACACAAATTGTCAAGCAAGCCGTGCAGTTTCTCGAAGATTTCATGTCGACCGCGAAGCACTCTGCCATACTCACTGTCAATTTTCAACAATCTCCACAACAAACGCCATGTATGTCAGCTGGCTATGCCGGTTAAAAATCGATGCGAAAACCTCCGAAAACTTAAAAAAGATGACGGACCACTCGTCTAAAATCGGTCGCGGGACAACATCAAGTGCATCACTGAGAAGACGGCAACGCACATCCATTTCTCGGACTCAAACCGATCGAATTTGACGGATAAGAGCCCAGGTGTATGTGTGTTGTAGCATGGAAGTTACGACAAGTACACGAAACGAAAATCAATTATTTTATTCATGTGTTTCACTTATAGATTTTTGTCAAAACATCAGCCTTATACATTCGATAAAACAAACCACATAGGTCGTATAAGAATGCATAAAAGGTATGTGTGACCGCTTATACATTTCATTTGACACATGATCTTCATTAACTTGTTACAAGGCGCCTGCTTATACATACATGATTGACTCATACATTTTATGAATAATCAGCAATAGTAATTTGCCAAAAGGTATAAGGAGATTTCTATCCGTGTAGGTGGAAAAGGAATTAAGGTCATTTTTCCACTCGTCCCAAGTTTTACTCGTTGCTGCTGCTGGTCAAGGATTCGGAGAAGAAAGAGCTAATGGTGAAGGAAGACATCCGCCGGGTGATGGAGTTTCTGTGCGAGAATATTGTGAATCAAATTCCCGTCCAAATACAGCTGGGAATATTAACCGGAACCTAGTGATCCATCGCCACTACCCGTTCCTCCTACTGGTCAGTTTCAACCTACTTGGTGCGGAACCGTTTTCTGCATTTGAGCTGTGATCTTTGGTTAACATTGTTGGGCGGTGTCCATTAATTATGTTACGCTAAAAATCAATGTTTTCGACCCCCTTAGATCAAAATGTAACTCTGAAAATGATCCCCCTCTATTTATTACGTAACGCTCTAAAATACACCGGGGATCCGTCCGTCTCATTTCATTAATTTTTGATTCCGGTATGTCTTTTATTTCTAGGTAATTGTATTATTAATATTCAAAATAAAAACAAAAGATCAGCGTACCATCGAGTACCTGCTTTTCAAAAGTTTTAGCATAGCAAAAATCTCAAGATATAAAATTAAAACATATCCATTTTGCCAGCAATAGCCGGTGCCGGTGGTGTAGTGGTAAGCGTGACTGCTTTCTAACACCCCAATGGGTCTGGGTTCAATCCCAGCCGAGGTCGGTGGGATTTTTCTGAGGCATAAAAATCTCTGGTCACGTCTTCCTTCGGAAGGGAAGTAAAGCCGTTGGTCCCGGCCCATGTGTGTTGAATGGGTGCGATATCCTACGCAGGTGTGGAGGCTGCCTTTCTGCACATTCGATTGCCGTCAATGGATGGCAATCGATGTCCGTCGGTGATTGGCACTAGATTGCGGAACAGAGACCGACGTTAAATAAAAGAAGAAGAAGATTTTGCCAGCAAGATTTAGTGATGACATTTTTGACCTGTATTTTCAAACTTTACATCAAGAAACAAAACAAAACAAAATGTCCTCGTTTTTACGTAACGGAAAGCTTTACTCCTCCTCCCCTATGTAATAATTTGTAACGATATATAAGCGTCACGTAATTTATGGACACTGCATTGTACCAGATTTTTCTTCTTTTTACACTTATCATCTTCGCGTTCGGACTTGTATTCCTCTGAAACTTTTTAACACCCCTCACATCACATCCATTCCCTGATCCATCCCATATATTTTTTTATCCGTGTTCTATTTTCGTCAACACGACAAACTCAAAAAAATCCCATCAATTATGTTTTCCCCTGAAAATCCCAAGTAATTACTAGACTGAAAAAATACATCCAAATGAGTGTCGTTCCCCCTGCCCGTCATCCAGTCACTTTTTTGCCGAATCTTGCGAGTTGTCACTGCAGCCGGGAAGTACAACAATGATACAATGACAACGGAGTACCATTTGAAGCCGATTTGATGAAAGATTTGTTGGCACTAAAATTATAACAGATAAGCTTGAGCTTGATTGACCGCCCACGGTTCCTACTCTGTTATTGCCAGATCAGCTGTAATTACACAGAGAACCAATAGACGATGCTTGGGACTAGCAATCATCCTCAATGTGTAAAAACTGGTGATCTTAAATTAGGCAATACCAGCGCCGGCCGCGCCCGAACACAGGTCAAGAAAGGAATGGGAAGGATTGTGTTGACATGACACTCGCTTTGATGGAAGCCGAGAACACCTCTGCACTTCCACGAGGAATCACTGGGATGTTGGATAAGAGGGTTGGGTTTGCAGCAGGGTTCGTTTTGGTAAACGATAAGCTGAATTGATGTCCTAACGATCATATAACGCGAAGGAGCTTGGGACTAAACCCACGGTCTTCTGCTCAGTAAGCAAAAACGTTTGCCACTAGGCAGACGAGCACCTTTTTAATCACCGAGTTTCTGTTATTACCATGTAGTCATTTTAACAAATAAAACGATTGACGAATCTTGACTGTGGATGGGCCTGAGATTAGACTCATGATGTTCTGCTCAGTAAGCAAAAACGGTTGCTCTAAGGCCACCGAGCCCCTCATATCACATAATACCATGTATCCATGTATCCATTCAAACCCGGAACCAACGACAACAACGAGTTTCGCAAAATACACGATACACGAGCGATTTTACCATAAATCTCTTTGATATGTAAGGACCTGGAACCGCGTTTTTCTGCTCAGTAAGCAGGCCACTGTAACCGACAACCTTCAAATCCGAAAACTAAAAACTACGAAAAAGTTCTTAGGCCTTCATTAAGTTCCACTTTCACGCGACGTTCAATGTTTCAATTTGCCCTTTACGTATTGTTCAGGCTATAAATAGGCCCTTTTCAAAAGTTACGCGAGAAATACGCACAATCGTCGCCTACCTCGCAAAACTGGTTCCAAACGACAACAAAGGCATAAGCACCTACTGAAACCTGGCCGTAGGCCTATGCTAGACCGTATAGCATAACGATCTTCTTCCACTAGCAGGCCTGTTTCTGTTTGCACAGACAGTCCCACTAGTTTTCGATACATTTATAGGGAATAGTAGGAGATTAAAAGAATGGAGAAGAGTTATAGAGGTTTTTTTGTTGTTGTTGTTTTGCTGAAAAGAGAGAAACAGAACTATACGAAATTACACCTGCTGAAAAAAAAGATAAGTCTATTATTTTGGTTAGTGATCGTTTGGATTTGGGTCACCCCACGTTGTGTTTAGGTTAGTATAAATAAATAATACTATATAGTCATATAAATCACCACAGCTCATTATCTTCAGCGTTATCGGTTTTGTTTCTGGATCTTTAGTTGCCTCTGTGATATACTTACTTGCGGCATACTATTTTGGGAGTGTATATGAGCGTGTACCATGTACGGTAGCTCATCTCTCATCGTGATGGTGGGACATAGTAGACAAATTAGAGAGAAAACAAGGAGGTACTAATATTAGTTATATGTAAACAAAC